AGGAAGGAAGGAAGGAAGGAAGGAAGGAAGGAAGGAAGGAAGGAAGGAAGGAAGATACTCCTTGGCAGAGAAACTTTGCCCTGTTATTAGAGAGCAGTTGAAACTATGACTCATGCCATGTTATATTGCCAATTTTATTATGACATTTGTCATCTTTATATAGCCCTGATTCTAAGAAACTTTCCCAGTAGCTCAGATAAATTTTATACCTCAATTCTCCTCACAGGCTGTAACACTGATGTAATTTAAAATTGACAAATTCCACTTTAAAGCCTACACTATAAAGAGACAAACGAAATCCGGCAACTTTACCTAAATGTTATTATTTTGTTCCACTTATTCCATGTTGTAACTTGCCTGGGAGAACTGTGGTGGGTTATCATAACACGGTATAGTTTCCTGATTCAGGTAGATTGTGCATTGGGCTGAGTTCTTGTGGGGAGGGGAGAGAAACTAGTTGGTCAATTTTTCTGGATTTTTCCAGGGCAGGGAGAGATGTTCAACCTCTTTTCCAAGGACAGATCTCCCTCTTACTGTGTCAGTAGCATAGGGAGTGAAAAACCACCTTCCCCACCCCAACGATGTCGTTGTTTGGAATTGAATCCTGTAAAAGGATGAGAAAGCAAGGAGGTTGCACTCAACAGCGGGATGCACCATGAAATACAGGTTGTTCCTACACACAGCCCTTTGCCACCTCACTTATAAGTAAGGGGAAGAACCCCACATTCCACCCATTCTTCGTTTTAGCCATTTCTAAAACACAAACAACCTAAGTCATCACATTCAAAACCACACCGTTCGGGCACTGAATTGGAACATCGCTCTTGAGATGTTGACGCTAGGCTTTGGCCTTTCCACAAAGCATTAAGATAAATTTTAAGACAGCAAAGATCATTGAATGAAAAGTTTATTTCCAGTTTGGTGTCCAACATAAAAAAAATTGTTCAAGAATATTGTAATATTGGTAAAGGCAAACATTGGTAAGGCATAGAGTCTCTCCCTAACAAAGGTGTTCAACAGTGGTTCTTCAGCACTCTGGCTTAATGGAGCTAAGATGAATTGTGACTACTTTATTTGCTACAGAATTAAATGCAAAATACAGGACTTGATTTTTTTGTCCAAATCTGGCCTCACCTGGATGATTCTAGATCAGTGTTTTCCAACCTTGGCAACTTGAAGTTGTGTGGACCAACTCCCAGAATTCCCCACCCAGCAAGCTGGCTGCGGAATTCTGGGAGTTGAACTCCACACATCTTCAAGTTGCTAAGAGTGAGAAACACTATTCTAGATAGTCCTGATTATTTCTTTTGCTTGCAGTTGAGTAATTTTTAGTAGCTAATTATTTTATTTTGCAGCAAAAATGTGATGCCGGGATGCGTGGTTGGGGTGTGACACAGAAGGAGGACAGAAATGCAGTTGGGCAACTAACTTCATAACTGTCCCTAAACTCACAACTACCCCAAACTGCATTTGAGTGACTTATATTAGCCAAAAAATTAGACACACCACGGAATTCAATCATTAAGGTCAAGTCCTTAAACAATGAATAATCAGAAAGAATGGTGGCACAGCATTTTTAAATAGCGTCAGTTTAAAAAAAATACATAAAGGCAAACTATTTTATATATATATATATATATTTTTTTTAAAAAAATTGAAAATCGCACTTAATTACAAAGATCCATAAAGAACATTTACAACAGTCCTGAGCAGGAAGATTTGGAGTTTAATACACGAAGCATGAAGGCTACGATCAGACCAAGAAGGAAGATGTCTGTTTAAAGTCACCCTGAAAAATCAAGAGAAAGAGAATTGCCTCTATATTCCAGAGTACAATAAAGACAGAGCAAGGTTGTGTGAATTCAGAACCCAAAGAGTTTTGAAGCCAAATAGATCTTAGGTGCTTGTCTGTATGTGCCCCAAAGACAACCACGTGCCAGCAAGATACCGTGAGTGCAAGTGCAGGGCCTAAATAATATAACAGGTTGTAATAATAAATAATTTGCAATGCTGGGTTCTTCCCAAATGTTCAAAGCATGCCTTTCACTGTCTAAAACATTACTTCCATTGTGGATTGTGTACTTCTCTAACATTCTGCCTTAAGTAGGAAATACTCAGGGGCCATAGTTAATAGCCAATTCAGATATCTTCAAATACTTCAAAGGCACAAACCATCTGAGATCTAAAGATGTTTTCTACTGTCCTAACAGCCCACTTTTCCCTTCTCTAAGAAACTGAACATGTAACCCAAATATTGTTATAAGCTGCAAAAAGCTTTGTCTGCCACCATCAAACTGGTGCTGTTAAAAACAGAATAGAAAGTCATCGTTGGGTGACCCAGATTCCTGGAGAACGAACTGGGTCTGTTTCTGTTTCTACTTACGTCACTTCGGTTGGAAGGCTGGCTGTAAATGACTTTCTTGGTACTGCTGGTTGAAGAAGGGAAAGGTGAGAGATTAGTATCATAGAACCAGAAGGGGGCCCTGGGGCCAAGTGCAGGATTCCCAGTTAGTATTTTATAGTTTGAAAGAGAGTTTGTATATGTATTTTATGTTTTCATTGAGTGTGGTACGCTGCCCAGAGTCCCTCTTTTGTGAGATGGGCGGCTATATAAATATGATCAACCCATCAATTAATCAATACAAAATCCCAGACAGATGTTGATTTAACCTTTTCTTGGACACAGCCTGTGAAGGGGAACTCAAAACTGCTCTGGGCCATTGTCCAACTCCTCTTATCTTTAGCAAGACACTTCTTGCTCTCCTGGCCAGAGGTGGAGCCGAAGAGGAGCTGATTCAGCAACTTCTCCCTTCTCTACCTGCCTCTCAACCAGTTGCCACAAAGATGCCCTCTAGTGGGCATCTGCTCTCTGAAAAGAGGAATCACCCCCCTCTCAGGTTAGTGCAGGTGATGGTACGCCGAGAGCTTTCCTTAGGACCTCTGTTAAGCTGGCGCTGCTGTGCCTGGATGACGTGGAGGCTCAGTTTTAGATCGCTCTGCGGCAGCCTTCTCCAACCTGGGGGTTCAAAGAAGTGCTGGAAATGGTCCACTGGAGGATTCTGGGAATTGACATCCTGTACCTCTGGGGGTCCCAAAGCTGAGGAATACTGGTTTATTGTTTTAACATTATTCTGGACAATTTTCACTGTCATGGCTTTTCCCTTACTGTATTTTGCTTTTCTGTGAATTGTGTCCCCCACTTTTACCAGGGTGATCGATCAAAGAATCAGAGAGAAAACAGCAGTGCCAAGCTTTACTCTCCCCCCTCCCTCATCCCCCCAGGAAAGGAAATCTCACAGCAGGACGGTCGGAAGATGGGCAGCAAGTAACAGTGGGCAGTCAGAAAGAATGGCTACTCACTCTGTTCTTTCTGAAAAAGAGAAAGACAAATTATTGGTTAGCCAAGAAAGAAGGGGTCCATGTCTCTCTTCCATTGTTAGAAAGGGTCAACTGGTGCCCATCCTGTTGGCCTCTTCTCCACCTGACCAGCCCTCCAGGTATCCTAAGACGAAAGTCCCCAGAATTCACACCACCGTGAGGTCCCGGTTAGGAGACATCTGATATTTTGGGGCCACGTTATTTGAAAAAGGGTTCCCATGGCCCTCTTCTTCTTAAATCTCTTCTAATGAAGTATTCGGAAGCAATCAAAATCCCCCCCCCATTTCATAAACTTTGAATAGACTTAACAAAGCCATTTTTTAAAAAAGTCCATGCATTTCTTTAGTCAATGATTCCTTCTGCAAAGAAGAGACTAGAAAGGATCAAGCACTGATACATCTAGGCAAAGGCTAATTTTTTGAGGGCTTTGTAATGAATTAAAAAAAAGCTAATAAGTAATCAATATTTGGAAAGCTGAGCTCCACAAAGGGTCTCTACCCATGATGGCTGGATGAATCATCCATGTTCAAGATCAGCTACTCATCAATGTCAGTGTTTGGGAGCTACCCGTAGGCTTCCTAGGATGATATTGTTGGCTACCATGGAAACTAGGATGTTGGGTAGGGAACCCCATCAAGGCCCAAAATCTGCTTTCAAGTCTTCATTCTGTTCTGATACACCCTCACCTTGGAGGGTTCTGGTTAGGGTTAGGGTTAGCAGACCAAATAATTATGTTTTTCCTGCTCTGGGAAAACAAGCACGCAGTTTGCTACTTACTGCTGAAATAGCCCCGGTTATAAGCAAACCAGATGCCGAAGATCACCAGCCCCAGGATGATGAGGAGAACCACCACGGCTGCCACGATGCCACCCACATTTAGTTCACCTGCACATGGGGCGGGGAGTAAAATGTTACGGAGAGCAAGTGTGTAATTCTGACATCGCAAGAACTTATACGCTTCAACAAACCAGAAAAAATTGCAAACACGCTATCGATCTTCTTCCACCCAGTCCTTGCCCAACCATGGCCAATACAGGAGGGTAAAATTAACACGCGGGGACATAATTTTTACTACTTATTCCCTGGTTTTACATGTTTTACCTTTGAGTGTTCTATATAGAATCTCACTTAAAGCAGAAATGGACTTTAAAGCACTTCCGAAAAAGCCACGGCTGAAATGTTCAGCTTTTGGGTTTTTGAGTGGTTAAGTAAAACAGCTGCTTTAAGGCAACTCTATTGCGTCTTCTGCCAAACGAAACCAAGAGACTACACACGGAGCAATGTTTACTGTCAAAGCATCTGGAGCACAGCACTCCTGGCCCAGTGAAATCACATTTACAGCTATCAGGGCCTTCAATGTTTTCCCATAAAAGCTAAATAATATAAAGAGGAAAGCATTCCAATAAAGAAGAAGCGCAGAAGCGCAGAATGTCAGTGTGGCAAAGTGCCTTGGAGAGAAAGTGACAGGGCATCCCCAGAGAAACTGAAAAATAACGTTCTGAAACACGGACTTTCCAATTCCATTTCCTCCCCTCCCACCTTTTTTTTTCTGCTTTTTTTCTTTCTCTAGGAAGTGTGTAATATTGCAGAGGACTATCTGGGGATTTGTCTTGTATCATGGAATTGGGGAAGAGAGCTGACCACCCTTTCGAGATCAAACTGTTGGGGACCCACTGTGATTTTTGGTTCCACTTTTTTTTTGATAATGGCTCTATATCTAAGCTTTCCCAACCTGGTTTTCACACACATGCTGATTCACATACAGGCAGTCCTTGTTTAGCGACCACAATGGGGACTGGCCACTCGGTCATTAAGTGAAGCAGTTGTGAAGTGAAACCGCAACAGTGCTTATGATCTGACTTCAGCTTTCCTTGGCTTTAGAGACCTGCGAAGGTCGTAAATGTGAGGATTGGTCACAAAGTGACTTTTTCATTGCTGTCGTAACTGCAAACGGCCACTTAACGAGGCAATTGCTAAATGAGGACTACCTGTATTCAGTTCTGCAATCCACTGCTTTCCATTTATCTTCAGCCATTAAGTCAAAATTTCCTTCCTTCCTTCCTTCCTTCCTTCCTTCCTTCCTTCCTTCCTTCCTTCCTT